CTTTGGGGGGCTCCGGGGCTTTGGGGGGGCTCCGGGATCTCGGGGGGCTCTTGGGATCTCGGGGGTCTCGGGGGGCTCCGGTGGGGGCTCCCCCGCCCCCCCGGTCCCCCCGGGCCGAGGCGGGAGCGGCCCCCGCGCCGTAATTAACTCTTAACGAGGGCAGCGCTTAACGAGGCAACGCTTAATGAGCGCGGCTCTTAATGAGCGCGGCTCGCTCCGCCCCGGCCCCGCCCGCAGCGGGAGCGGGAAAAACTCCTGGAAAACGGGAAAAATCCCGGGAAAAGCCTGGAAAAATGGGGGGGAATTCCTAAAAAAGTGGGGGGAAAGAAATCCTGGAAAATGGGGGGAAAAAATCCTGAAAAATGGGGGGAAACATCCTGGAAAATGGGAGGAAAAAGCCAGGAAAATAGGGGAAAAATCCTTAAAAAATTAGGAAAAAATTCTAAAAAAATTAGGAAAAAAATATTGGAAAATGTGGAAAGAATCCTAAGAAATGTGGGGGGAAAAATCTTTTTAAAATGTGGACAAATCCTTAAAAAATGTATAAAAATTCCTGGAAAATGTGGGGAAATTCCTAAAAATTGTGGAAAAAATCCTAAAAAATGAGGGAACATTCTTAAAGTATGTGGGGGGGGAAAATCCTAAAAAAATGTGGAAAAAATCTTGGAAAATGTGGAAATTTTCTTCGAAGGTGTGGGAAAATAAAAGTTGAAAAAATCCAGAAAAAATCTTGGAAAATTCCTAAAAATTGTGGGGAAAATTCTAAAAAATGTGGGAAAATTCCCAAGTTACCCCTGGAGGTTGAGCCGGGGTCGGGCTGGTTCTGCGCCCACCCCCCAAAAAAACCGGGAGGATTTTGGGGTTCCCTCAGTGCTGCCCCCATGGGACATGCTGAGGTCCTGGGGTAATTTGTTTTATTTTATTTTATTTTATTTTATTTTATTTTATTTTATTTTATTTTATTTTATTTTATTTTCGGGATTTATTGGTGATTTTTATTTTATTTTATTTTATTTTATTATTTTATTTTATTATTTTATTTTATTTTCGAGATTCATTGATGATTTTTATTTTATTTTATTTTATTTTATTTTATTTTATTTTATTTTATTTTATTTTATTTTATTTTATTTTATTTTATTTTATTTTATTTTATTTTATTTTATTTTATTTTATTTTATTTTATTTTATTTTATTTTATTTTATTTTATTTTATTTTATTTTATTTTATTTTATTTTATTTTATTTTATTTATCCCCCCCGGCTGAGGGGGGAATTCACCACCCAATAAATCAATTTCCTAACACTCGGGACACCCAAAAACGCCTTTTTCAACCTCAAAAAAGACACGCAGCCGCTCCTCCCCCCGCCCGGAAAACTCATCCCAAGGAATCCCGAAAATCCCAGGAAACGCGGATTTGTGGGAAAATCCCTCCGCCTCCCGCCCGGCCGGGAATTTTGGGGTTAATTCTGGGAAATTCGGGATCGCGGCGCTCCCAGCCCGAGGGGGCGGCCCTGGGAATTGCAGGTGGGGGAAATTCCCGGAGGCTCCAAAAGGGAATTTTGGGCTATTCTGGATAAAAAACTTAAAATTTAATTTTTTTTTTAATTTTAAAATTAAAATTCAAGTAAAAATCCCTCAAAATTCAAATTTCAAACCCCTCAAAATTCAGTTTTTAGAAATCCTCAGAAGTACAAATTAAAAACTGAAAATTGAAATTAGAGAACTTAAAATGGAAATAAAAACGTCGAAATTCAATTTAAAACCCACAAAATTCAATCAAAAGGTTGAAAATTCAATAAAAAATACAAAATTCAATAAAAAAACTCTCAACATTCCATTCTCAACTCGTGGGGGCTCCCCCAAAAAAACAGAGGGGGGATAAAAATCCATTCCCAGCTCAGGATCCATCCCTGGGTCTGGAATTTTTTGGGATTGGGTGGATGAGGAGCAGAACGCTGAGAAAGGAGGGGGGAAAAAAACCAAAAAATGGAGGAAAAACCTCCCAAAAATGGGGAAAGAAAGGAAAAAAAAGAGGAAGGAAGGAAGGAAGGAAGGAATTCCTGGCATTCCCACCTCTCTCCACTCGGGATATTTGGGAAGTGCGGGAGTCCTGCTGCTCCTTCCCCGGGAGCGGCTCCAGCCGGGAATTCCTCTCACCCCATTAACTCCCCACCCTAGCGAGGGGGAAATGGGATTATTGGCCCCGGGCACACATCGTAAAGATCCCGGGATAACCGTTCCCGCTTTTCCAGCGGGAGCCGCTCCGGGGAGGTTTATGGCCGGGACCACGGATGGGGAACGGCCCGGGGTAATTAGCGCCTAATTGCCCTCATCAGCGAGGAGCGCTTATCGGAGACACGGGCCTGGTGGGAATGGGGTATCCATGGAGAGGGGTGGGATCGGGAATGGGATTGGGATATGGGGTTGGGAATGGGATATGGGGTTGGGAATGGGGTATCCATGGAGTGGGGTGGGATCAGGAATGGGAATGGGATATGGAATTGGGAATGGGATATGGGGTATCCATGGAGAGGGGTGGGATCGGGATGGGAATCGGGAATGGGAATGGGGTATCCATGAAGAGGGGTGGGATCAGGAATGGGAATGGGATATGGAATTGGGAATGGGATATGGGGTATCCATGGAGAGGGGTGGGAATGGGAATGGGATTGGAAATGGGAATGGGGTATCCATGGAGCAGGGTGGGATTGGGAATGGGAATGGGATCGGGAATGAGATTGGGTATGGAATTGGGAATGGGGTATCCATGGAGCAGGATGGGATTGGGAATGGGAATGGGTTCGGGAATGGGGTATCCATGGAACAGGGTGGGATATAGAATATGAGATTGGGGTATCCATGGAACGGGGTGGGATTGGGAATGGGATATGGAATGGGATCGGGAATGGGGTATCCATGGAGCAGGGTGGGATTGGGAATGGGATATGGAATGGGATTGGGAATGGGGTATCCATGGAGCAGAGAGCTTTCCCCAGGACGGGATCTGGGAATGGAGTATCCTTGGCAATTCCTAAATGAGATTTGGGAATCCCAAAAGAGGACCTGGGAATCCCAGACCGGGATTTGGCAATCCCAAACTGGATCTGCCCCTCTCCATCCCAAGTTTCCTCTTGGAGATCCCATTTTTGGGGAGGAAATGTTGGATTTGGGGCTGGCAGATCCCCGAAATCCAAGGATTTCACCAAAGAAGGAGCAGGCTGGGGTTTTCCACGGCAAAAAAATGGGAATTCTGGGGGGTTTTTCCATGGAATTAGGGCTGGAAGGGCCCCATTAATGCCCTGATGCAGAAATGTTTAATTGCCATTAATGTCAATATTTTCCGAGGTGATTTCCCGCTGGGAATTGCCCCAGGTCCCGGCTGGATTTCCTGGTTACCCTCTGGAATCGGGATAAAAACGGCCCCGAGCAGCTCCGGGGCTGCAGAGCCAAAGGGAATCCACACAGGGAGGTGAGAAACGCTGGGAAAATGGGAATTCTGGGGGAAAACGGGAATTCCAGGGGAAAAAAAGGGGGATTTCTGGAAAAAAAATGGGAATTCCAGGGGGGAAAAAAGGGAATTTCTGGGGAAAATGGGGATTTCTGGGGAAAAATGAGAATTCTGGCTCTCTGTGGGCCTGGGGTTTGGAAGGGAAATTCTCCCGCGGAGGATCCGGGATTGGGGAATTCCCGCTCCCAGGCCGGGCTGGGATGGAGCCGCGGCCTCGGGAGGCTCCGAAGCCAATTCCCGCCGGGAATTCCGCGGCCGGAGCTCGGGAGCAGGGCAGGACAGGCCGGGAGGGAGCTTTGGGAAGGACGGGATCGGCCGGGAAGGGCGGGAGGTCGGCGGGGTGGAATCGCATCCCGAGGCTCCCGCGTGCTCCAGGCGCTGCAGCCCCGGTGATCCCGGTGATCCCCGTCGTTATCCCGGTTATCCCGAGGGAATTCCGCCCGGGAGGATGGCCCTGAGGGCGCTGCCGCTGCTGCTGCTGGCCGGGCTGGGCGTGGTGTGCACGGAGAGCGCGGGGTGAGCGGGGACCGGGACCGGGAACGGGAACGGGAACGGGACCGGGAACGG